GACAAAGCTTCAAAATGTGCAACGGGAAGTGAGAGCTCTACTCCCACAGTCCGACCTCTGTAATTGGCCGCCGTGATCCATCAAAAATGGGCTAAAAATCTCTCCAGATATTCCTATGCACACACACACTCTGTGTGTCTATAAACTTTCAAAGCATAGATTTACGGAGTATTTGGCCCTTTTAATTTCATAATACACTGTGGACATTTTAATGCAGTATTCCATCATGGAACCATAATTTATACTCATAAACATTTGCATGGTTTCCAGTTTTCCTCTAGTACAACAGGGCCATAATGAAAGTCTGTTGTGTTTTTCTGTATTTCTGCAGGTCCAACTGAAGGTTGTAGAATTAGAAGTTCAAATTGTGGGTTTAAGGATATTCCCATTTTATGGTTTGATAGATACAGCAATTTTGCCTGAGGAGTTTTCTTCATAGCATAGGAACTACCAAATTTTGTTGAATACTGACAGGTGACCCAGAAAGAGGGAGAGGCCGGAGGAGGTGTCGTCACAGCCCCTGCCGACCAGCATCAGGCCCTTCTTAACTTACTTGCTCTTAGTCCTCAGGTTTCCCAGGACCTGTCCCAGTCTGCTCGGGCTGCCATCACAAAACACCACAGACGGGGCAGCTTACACAACAGGAATTATTTCTCACGAAGTCTGAGATCAAGGTGCCAGCTGACCTGGTTCCTGGTGGGGACCCTCTTCCTGGCTTGCAGACAGCACCTTCTCACTGTGTCCTCACGTGGAGAGAAAGCCATTTCTCTGGTGTCTTTTCTTTTAACGACACTAATCCTGTGGGATCAGGGCACCTATCTCATGACCTCATTTAACCTTAGTTATTTCCTTACTCCAAATGCAGCCCCACTAGGGGTTAGGGCTTCAACATATAAATTGGGGGTGGGATGGACAATTCAATCCACAGCAAGGCCTGACTCCAAATATCACGGTTCTATCATCTGTTAAGATGTCCTAGAAATACCAGCAGTCAGGTGTCGGAGCAGCATCTCCTACATTGGCCCTTATGCCCGAAACTGGCATAAACATCCTATGTCAAATGAGTCGCTCCATTTTTGGGTTCAGAAAAGTATGGTCGTAGTGATGTAGGAAATGGCTACTCTATGATTATGTAATAGGGTTAATCTTACGTAGGCACACTGCACTCGACACATTAATTTTCTATGTGATAGTAATTTAAAATTATTCTACTAAAATGCTGTTATCATTGAAAGATGCCATTCCTTTTACAGGGTAGACTGCTCGTGTTTAAATCGACCAATAAATCTTTTATGCTTTTTGTGATCCAATGTTGCTTACATAATTATTTTTCTTTCAGATATGTAATAGTGAAGAATTCTAGGAGAAATGTAGAATTTTACAAGATAAACAAGCTTTTGATACAAAGAAGATAGGGATAACCATTTATAATAACTACTGGATTTCCACCAAAATGCAGCCTAACAGAAACTCGCAAAGAGTAAACAGATGATATTTTTCTAAAATTAACTTAAGTGACAAAATGAAAAACTGAATTTTTGTTTAATATTTACTACCATTATCCCTTGTCTATAGCTGAGACTGGGCTGAAGCAATTACCTGGTGGATTTAATAAAGATAATTTATGTTAAAAAAAAAAAAAAAAACAACCTCTCAACTCTGGAATGTTTCTCTGAAAATAAACTTTTTCTTTCATTTTTTTTTTATTACTATTAGTACAGATCAAATACCTACTTAATTCACCCCTTATCTCTGACATGGCCTTAATTTTAAAGACAGGAAGAACAGAAACATGGATCACATTGTGTCCTAGAGAGCAGGGTAAGCACCATCTCCCTTCGTCAGAAAGTAAAAAATCCTTTCTGGCAACGTGAAGAACTTCATGGCCTTCTCTGTCATGGGTGCTCCACACGTGCAGAATCCACGCACTGCCATGGGATGTGCTGAGGACAGGGCCAGTGAGCTTTGGGAGCAACGGCCACCCCGTGGTGCCCACTCCTGGGGCATGTCCTCCCCCGAGATGTGGGGAACGCCCTTGTTGTTACAAAGGCCCATCGTCCCATGAGCACCTCACCTACTTCGAGCATGTCACCGCCATGGGAGAGGACTGCTCTATATGCACTCTCGTCAGTCAAGTGAAAATCTGTTTCCAAAGACAATAAATGATATTCGCTGAGGTTCTAATTTCACATTGGATTTGAAGAACTGCTTGTCGGTTGATGGTTAACAGTTACTAGCAAGGCTGAGAGCAACCAAAATACAGTCACGCGTCATGTAACGCCATCTCGGTCAGTGATGAACCACATATGCGACGGTGGCCCTGTAAGATTACAACACCCTGTCTCTACTGTACCTTTTCTATGTCTAGATACACAAAGACCATCACGTTATGACTGCCCACAGCACAGCACATGCAACATGAGGTGCAGGTTTGTTTGCCCAGGAGCCACAGGTCATATGGTGTACCTAAGGTGTGCACCGGCTGTCCCATCCAGGTTTTTGTACATGTACACCCTATCATGTTTGCACAACAAAACTGATGCATTTCTCAGAACGCACCCATCATTAAGTGAAGCATGACCGTACCAATGGTTAATTCCTCTCCTTGCTATATTCGTGCTTAGAATGTAATTATTGAAACTACTCAGTAGTTGAATAAAACCAAAGACTGAAGTCTATAATGAGAAACAACAGAAAATGTTAAAAGAAAGTTTTGCTAAGGAATTACTAAAAGTCCAAACAACACAAAGCCAGTCCTTGGGAGCCCGTGTCACACCAAGACCTTCAGTCTCTCGCCACAACCTTGTGTTGTAATTCCCATGGCATGTGGCATATCAAGGATAACGCTTTCCTTTTTTTTAACCATTTCTTAAACATATGATAAACTCAAAGTTTTGTGGATTTTTTTATAATTGGTAATAAAACTTTACACATATGTAAATAGCTTTTGATTGTACCAGCTGCTGTAGTTTGTATATGATTTGTCCCCACAAAGAGCATGTTGAAATCTGATTCCCAATGTGGCAGTGCTGGGAGGTGGGGTCTAGCAGGAGGGGTTTGGGTCATGGGGGTGGATCCCTCGTGAATGGATTAATGCCAGCGGGGGAGTGTGGGGGAGGGGTCTAGCAGGAGGGGTTTGGGTCATGGGGGTGGATCCCTCGTGAATGGATTAATGCCAGTGGGGGAGTGTGGGGGAGTGTGTGTGTGTGTGTGTGTGTGTGTGTGTGTGTGTTTCCCACTCTATTAGTTCCCAAGAGAGCTGGTTGTTAAAAAGAGCCTGGCACTCCCATCCCTCCCTCCTGCTTCTGCTCTTGCCATGTGATCTCCTTACACACATGGCTGCCCTTCTATTTTCCGCCATGAGTGGAAGCAGCCTGATGCCCACAAAAGATGCAGCTGCCACTGAATTGTGAACCAAATAAACCTCTTCTTTATAAATTACCCAGTCTCAGGTATTCTGTTGTAGAAACACAAAAATAATTAAAGCAGCAGCCACATGTTGCTAGACATCTCTAAGCCTATTTCCTTACTTATAAGGTTATGTGTGTCCTGCCCAGCCAATCTTCAAAGCAAGTCTAAGCTCAAACTGAGAAATGTATGTGAAAGTGTTTTATAACTAAACAAGCCACTATGAAAATGTATTATTGTTTTAGACCAGTGATCTCAAAGTGAGTTCTGGGAACCCCTGGGAGGGATCTCAGGGAACTTTCAGGGGTATACGAGGTCAAAACTACTTTCATTTTAAGACTAAGACATTATTAGCCTTTTTCACTCTGAATCTCCCATGAGTGTACAGTGCAGTTATTACACTGATAGCTAAATGATATTATTACTCTGGCAGCTAAGTGTGTTTGTGTGTTCTTGTGCTTTAAACATTTCTGTTTTAATTTCAAATACCTATGCTCCTCGACTTACAATGGAGTTATGTCCCAAAAAACTCATAAGTTGAAAATATCTTAAGTTGAAAATGCATTTAATACATCTACCCTTACTGAATCATAGTGTAGCACGGCCCATCTTGAGTGAGATCAGAGCACCTATATTAACCTACAATTGGACAAAATCATCTAACACAAAGCCTATCTTATATAAAGTGTTGAATATCTCAAGTACCACATATCACTAGCCCAGGAAAAGATCAAAATGCAAAGTACACCTAAATCACGACTGTTTGCACCACCGTAAAGTTGAAAAATCGTTAAGTGGAAACACCGTAAGTTGGGGACTGCCTGTACAGGAAATATCAATAGACTTAATCTAACCGAAAAACAAAAGCTCTCTGGGGTGTCTATAATTTTTAAGAATGAAAAGGGATCCTGAGACCAAAAAGCGTGAGAACCACTGTTTTAAGTCTGCATTTTTGAAAGACCTCCAGGGAACAACGCACCAAACACACATGTGCGATCAAACCAGGAGAACCAGACAGTGGTCTCAGAAATGAGATGCACTTAGTTCTGGATTCTTGGGTCTGAAAGCCTCCAGGTCAAAGATGACATGTGCAGTGAGGACCATGGCAGCTCGCTGTCCGGGTCCTGTCTGGCCCATTCTCTGAGCAGGTCAGCAAGCTGCCCTCAGGCTAACATGGCCGGCCACCTGCTCTTACAAATGAAGTTTTACTGGAACACAGTCACCCGCTTCACTCACACATTGTTTAAGGCAGTCCCGCTTCACTCACGCATTGTTTAAGGCAGTCTCACTGCCATGGCAGAGGTCAGCGGCTGTGACAGAAACCACATGGCTTGCAAAGTCTAAAATCTTTACTATCCAGGAGTTGAATGCAAGAGCACGACCATGCCACGGCCCTGACTCCAACAGTCAAAGGTCTTTTAATGACAAATGATGAATTCTTGGTTTTTTGATAAATATAAACATTTCATAATTAACCAATAGTAAGGAATGGATATAATCAGCAAAATATTCAAATAATTAAAGCCACTTTTAAAAGAACAATATTTTACTATTTAAAATTCTAAGTAGAAAAAGTACCGTAACTTCAGGTCTTAAAATCCACAGTAACAACTTTTATTTAATAAATGGTTCAAAGCAGAGTGCCAAAAATACATTAAGATTTGAAACTTCACTAGCAGGAAGAAACACTGTAGAATGCACAGTTTCAGAAAACTACAATACATTATTTTAAAAATCAAAGTGCCTCGGGGTCAAAAAGACAGGCTGTAGATGCCACACCAAGGTTATCCCTGTCCCAAGTAACATTTGTTATCTCGGCAAATCCTCCAACCACATGGTTATAAGCCACGAGCATATCCATCAAAGGACCGTGGAACCACATTCACCCCGGCAGTTGCCACGTTGTTAGAAGTGCAGTAATTAAAGCCGTTGGATTGTATACAGTGCGAAGGGTCCTTTCAGGGGGACTAAAACACAACAGAATTGGCAGAAGTGGCTGAGCTGCACAGGTTACAGTGAGGGAACTGCTCCTGCCCAATGCTGCGGCTCAGAAGGCCTGTGAGAAGCGCAGTGACAGGCAGGTGCTGACGGCCACTTGCCCACAAGGATGTGACATGCGTGGACGTGGCCCTTGTGGACGGGCAGTGCTTTCGAGTTCACACTGGGATAATGCCAACTGTCTTCCCTGCTTCGTTCACGTTTCTCCACCTCCCATGTGGGCCATTTCCTCTCTTTTGGCTAAAGGGTAAATATTAGTACATATTAGAAATAGTAAAGTCTGAAAATTCTGCTCAATTTAAAAAAGATCACGTCTTTAAGAAAGGTTTCTGGAGGTTCCTGTACCACCCTCGGTGCTTCCAGCTTCTAGTTTCTGTGTGAGGAGTACATTCAGCGTCCGGGTTCTATGCTGGGGCAACTGGCACATTTCTGGGAGGCTGCGCGGGAGCTCACGGGTGCCACCAGCGTGTGTGGTGCTCGCTGTGCCTGTGCCCTCTCAGGACCAGCCCCTGTCGAATCCTCTGCCCCACTGCTCCTCCCGCCTCGGCCCTACTCGGAGGCTCTTCCGTCACACTGGCGGGCTCGAAGGCCGGTGGGTCCTACGGGACAGAGGGTGGGTTACTACTCCGAGGGCCACAGCGCAGGAGTGTCAGCACCTGTCTGCACGTCTAGGGCCTGATGATAGAAACCGTCTAAGAGAATCAACCTTGCAGATCAAAATCGACCCTCTTCATAGCACTGTCTCAGAAACCAGGTATTTGAGGCCAAAACAAAACAAAACAAAACAGCCATGTTTTTTTTGAAACTAAAAGTTGGCATTGAGGAAAATGTTATTGCCCAAACCAGGAACACTCTATGGAAACAGCGCAATCCCGGCACTTCCCTATGGGCCTGAGAGAAGAAAACTCAGTCACGCCCGTCTCTCCCCGTCAGCTA